AAATTAATCTTTTAGAGATTGATGGGGACTTGTGGAGGTGGGTGCAGTATAGTATGGTTTAGGAGAGATCTTAGGGTGGAGGACAATCCAGCTTTAGCTGCAGGTGTCAGGGCAGGTGCCGTTGTGCCAGTATTTATATGGGCGCCTGAAGAGGAAGGACACTATTATCCTGGTAGGGTTTCAAGATGGTGGCTTAAGCAGAGCTTATCACATCTTGATACTTCTTTGAGGAGCCTTGGCACATCACTTGTCACAAAGAGATCCTCTGATAGTGTCTCCTCACTTCTTGAGGTCATCAAGTTGACCGGAGCTAAGCAGCTGTTCTTCAATCATTTATATGGTCAGTTCTTTGTTCTTTGTGAAAAAAGTTATGTATAATCTTGAATCACTGACTGTTTTGAGTTTTGGGATTGTGTTTGTGTATACATTTTTCTTTTGTAAATTGTTAAGAAAAGATAAAAATCATTACTTTATGCATTGTTATAGAGGGTGCTCATGTTTTTTGCGAGTGATAGATTAGTCAAACAAAGTACAGTGGATTGTGATTATATTTTTCTTTGATATTCTTTGACCAGTTCTGCTTAAATGGGATGGTAATACTGAAAGCTACTCCATTTTTAACTTAGACTATGTTTTCCTTTATTTTGGTGGACAATGTTTGGGTTTTGCAGTATTGAATATTGGCTATGTTAATTAGACTTTTTTAGTTGGCTGTCCTCCATATCTACACTGCTTATAGTGATATCACATTGCATGTGATACGGTTGCTGCTTCTTGAAGACAACAGAAAGAAAAAGCTTAGTTTTGACGAGCATGTTCGTGTTGTGGCAGACTCGTGATGTTTTCTTTTGTGACTGATTTCAGATCCAATATCACTGGTGAGGGATCACCGTGCAAAGGAAGTCTTAACAGCTGAAGGTATAGCAGTCCGTTCTTTCAATGCGGACCTGCTTTACGAGCCTTGGGAAGTTCTTGATCAGGATAGCCAGCCCTTCACGACTTTTGCTGGATTCTGGGAGAGGTGCCTTAGCATGCCATACGATCCTGAAGCTCCACTCCTCCCACCTAAAAGAATTATTTCTGGTACTGTTTTGATTTATCACTTTTTTGATATTTCTAGTTTTATTAGTCTAGTATTTTCCCTTCTCCTCCTCCTCCGAAGAAGTTCGTTATATACTTGTATTAAAATTTCTACCTCCTGGTATTCTTTCGTTATTTTATTCTGATCAAAGTTCTTGGATGAATGTAGAGTTGTAGTGGAAAATCTTGGTTCTGGATATGTAGTAAAACCTTTAATAAGATGCTTCGTTGCTGCTGTGCATTCACAAACATATTTAGGCACGGCTGATGAAAAATTACTGGAGTAGTTGTGAAACATCCTCTGGGGTTAAAGCTCTTAGCACAAACATAGTGATTATATGTTGAAACATTTTCTATGCATAACAGTCTCATAACTCATGGTCTTAACTCATTTGATGCATTTCCAGCAAGAGTTCGAATAAAACACCTCATGATCTCAGGATTCTATCTATTAGCATCTTTATAAACTTTGCATCAGTTTTCTAGCAGGAATACTCATATCTTCATAATTGTACACCATTCGAAGGTTAATTAATTACCTCTGTTATAACAAAATGTTATTGCTAAAACTTTACTAAACCCGCCTAAAACCCCCAGGGGACATCTCGATATGCAACCCAGATGCCCTATCCTTCGAGGATGAATCCGAGAAAGGCAGCAATGCCCTCCTCGCCCGGGCCTGGTCTCCGGGCTGGAGCAATGCTGACCGGGCCCTAACTGCCTTCATAAATGGGCCTCTCCTCGAGTACTCTAAAAACCGCCGCAAAGCTGACAGTGCCACCACCTCATTCCTCTCTCCCCACCTCCATTTTGGCGAGGTGAGTGTCCGGAAGGTTTTCCACCTCATACGCATCAAACAAGTCCTGTGGGCCAATGAGGGAAATCGAGCAGGTGAAGACAGCGTGAACTTGTTCCTGAAGAGCATCGGGCTGAGGGAATATTCGAGGTATATAAGCTTCAACCACCCGCACAGCCACGAGCAGCCCTTGCTTGGCCACCTGAGGTTCTTCCCGTGGGTTATTGATGAAGGGTATTTCAAGGCATGGAGGCAGGGGAGGACAGGTTACCCGCTGGTGGACGCGGGGATGAGGGAGCTTTGGGCTACAGGGTGGCTGCACGATCGGATAAGGGTGGTTGTGTCGAGTTTCTTCGTGAAAGTTCTGCAGCTGCCTTGGAGGTGGGGGATGAAGTACTTTTGGGACACGCTACTCGATGCAGACCTCGAGAGTGATGCACTCGGCTGGCAGTATATATCGGGGACCCTTCCTGATGGGCGTGAGTTTGACCGTATTGATAATCCACAGGTATGCTTTCATGTTATTTCTGGATTTGTTTCTTAGGTTTGGTGACATTTTGGAAGATCTGGGATGACTGAAAATGGCGCCTTTTCTTTTGTTGCGCTCTCTCTCTCTCTCTCTCTCTCTCTCTCTCTCTCTCTCTCTCTCTCATGTATTTTGTTTATGATTCTTTCTGAACCTCTGATGTGGCAGATTTTTTTTTTTTTAACGTATCTTCGTGACTTACATAAGGTAGTTCACAATAGATTTTTAAATCCAGTGTGTGCTGGTTATTTCCCTCTCTATTTGATATTCTTGGAGAATGGTATCCCTTAGTCCAAGAACTACCTATAAACTGCCTCCGACAGTAATTTCTGTTCATTAATCTGCAATTGACTCTAACTAGAATTCAAATTCTCGCAAAAGTTGAAAAACGACTCTTCCTAGAATGTCGATAATCTTGCATATAATTTAATCCCACAGTTTGAGGGCTACAAATTCGACCCAAACGGGGAATACGTGCGGAGATGGCTCCCCGAGCTGGCGCGCCTTCCGACCGAGTGGATCCACCACCCGTGGGATGCCCCTGCTTCTGTCCTCCAGGCTGCAGGCATCGAGCTCGGCTCCAACTACCCTCTCCCGATTGTCGGCATTGACCACGCCAAAACCCGCCTTCAGGAGGCTCTCTCCCGTATGTGGCAGCCCGACATGGTCAACGAGGGCCTCGGCGAATCTTCCGATTCTGCGCCTGACGACTCGCGCATGGACACCGATGATGGGCCCGCCCGCCACCACAACCACCCGCCTGCTCGCCGCTACGAAGACCAGATGGTCCCGAGCATGACATCATCGTCCCTTGTCGATGTCACTTCGATTGTTCTTGGGGTCTCGGCTGACGAGGGCCGGGCCGAGGTTCCATCGAACGTGAATGTTGGAACGGAGGAGGAGGTTGGGCCAGGCCCGCATGTGCAGGTGGATAGGGATGGTGATGACGATGGTGGTGATAGGTTTTCTGGGCTACGGAGGGCCCGAAGAAGGAACTCTGAGGACTCGACGGCAGAGTCGTCGAGCGGGAGCAGGCGGGAGAGGGACGGAGGAGTGGTGCCCGTGTGGTCCCCGCCTGTTGGGGGGGAGGAGGGCGGGATAGGGGCAGGATCGTCTTTTCTGCAGGTCAACTGGAGGCAGCTCCCGCAAACTGGGTAAGCTAACATCACTCACTTTCATCATGTGCCTATCTTTTTAGAAGAACTAGCAAGCAAGATGATAAAATTAACTAGCAAGCAAGATGATTAATAAATGACATTATGTGTATAAACAATGATGGTGATAAATTTAATAAAATCCACTTACTTTAGTTTATCAAGAATTGTTGTAAACTAACTTGTTATTATAGTAAAGCTTCTTCTGCTATGTGGAACAACTAATTTGAGTTTTCATCAAATATAGCAATGTTTCGATAGGATTAAGTGATGATGATGATAATCTTTCTTAACTCCTTGTCCTGCACTTGCTCACAGATGATAACAACTTTGGAGAGAAAAAAAAACGACGTGCGAATTGGGTACAGAGATACGAGATTCTTCGGCCGTAGTTGTTCTTGTGGTGGAAAACTAAAGCCCGTTCGTACCTTGGTCCAACTCGATCGACGATCATATGACGTGTGCAGATTTTCGAAATGGATCAGGTGGTTCGTATTCGTATGTGTCTTATAGCTTGCTTTTTTTTTTTGGTTGGGTTTTGTGAGGTATTTGTAGTTGTTGTATAGTATTAAATCAAATCCTTTTGGGACAAATATTGACATAAGAAGAAGAAAAGTGCAGGCTTCCAATAAATCAATGCAGGTTTGTGCCTCTTGTATGTATGTTGTTGTATTATTTATGGGTTAGTAAGAGATGTAACAATGTAATAATGTTATGTTGTTCTACTAATGGATGTCGTTATTGAATTAATTAAAAACTTTTGTTTCCTTGAATTGTATGAATTTATCAATATTGGTCCCAAGAAGTCGGGGATGAGGTGCACTTAGGCTCACCCTCTTATGGTGCGCTACCCGACGTGCTCTGGAGACTGCTCTGGGTTCGGGCTCTATATCTACCCGACCTATGTAGTCTGTTGGTTTGCGCTTACGAAGGACTCACAAGTGAGTGGGTGAGTTGAAATATCACTTGTGAGTTGTTCCACATTGATTCTATAGGGTAAACGATTCTAGTTTATAATCCTAGTAAGTTATTCCTTCATCATCAATTGTTTTTGAGATGAAATTATTTCACTAAGGTGCACTTAACGTCACCTGTGCGCTTTCACCTGGTTAGACCGTACCCTCTTCCTTCGATTCTAATACTATTTGACTCGCATAGAAATAATGTGATGCACAAGTTAAGATTGGTTAAACTCACTCTAAATTACAATTCAAAACTAAGTCCTTAATCGTATTTGTCAGCGTATACACTTGTATGGGTTATTGTTATACATGACACATTGAATATTATCAACATAAATTGAGAAGAAACAAAAACTTGTGATAGTATACTAAAATCTGTGATCTCCATTATATTATAAATGTTGTTCAACTTCAACAACCCCACATCATCCTTCTGTTCTCAAATTGAGGCCGACTAAGATCAGTGGTCCCACAACTCGTAGCTGGATTAATTATCAACACTTTTGAAGACGACTATTAAGCAGATGATTGGATATAAATTATTTTGACTTTGATTGTATTGTTATTAGAGTGAATCTAAAAATAAATAAAAATTGACTGGCTTAAGTTTGAGCGAGATTTGATTTGTGGCGGATGGTCTGGATTTCAAATTGGTGCTTTGGTTTTCCCGACTCCTGTGCTAGCCCTAATGTTGGGCGAGCATGGGAGCCCAGCGGGGGCGGCTTCAACTCCGGTCTGTATGTTGTGGTCTCCGGTTGTGACGGAGGGAACTTGGGTGCTGGTCTTCTGGTGTCAATTCAATGATGGTCTTTTGGGAAGGTTTCGGGTCCTTCTGTTCAGGTTCTAGTTAGCAGGTAGGGGAGTTTCTAGTTCTGTGTTTGGACCGGGAGCTTGGTCTTCTTGGGTGCGTGGTTGTCTTGGGTGTCAATTCGGTTATAGGGTATTTGGGTGTGGCTTGTTTGTTGGTGGGGAGTGTATTAGTCTAGCTATTAGGTTTTT